AGCCTGGGAGCCTGGGAGCCTGGGAGCCTGGGAGCAGACTTGCTAAGGGCGATAATGGAGGGAGTGAGAGAGGCTGGTGAACTCGGGCAGGCCAAGTCCAGTGCTGAAAACGCTCGTGCAGTTCAACTCGCTAAAACAAAATACTGAAGAGAAAACACACCTAACCCCCGGCATTCATCCGTCATACACATCCCGACGTGTGGCAGCTGCGGCTGTGCAGGCCCAGAAACAGCTTCTAAAGCTCTAACAGAGAAGTCCAGTTCCATCTTCTACGCAGGTGCACATTACAGCCCAGAGCCGCACAGATACCTGCTCAGTCATCAACTGCAGTGGCCAGGGGGGCTTGGAATTCGAGTCTTCCGCTTGCCTGGCCAGGCTCGCTTCTGTTTGACCTGCCACTTGACCGGTCTCACCGGGGGAGGGTTAGGACTGCCAGCTCCCCAACTTACATGGGGTCTGCACGAACCTTTCTAGAACAGCTCAACGACAGGCAGAAGAAACAAGAGAATTGTGGTCTTCCTGCTCCCCCATCCCGGCCGGCAACCCAGGGGCACGCCCCTCCACCTGCCCTTTACTGCTCTCCCACGTGCACTGGCTGGAGCGCATTCCTTGTGCGCCTACCGCTGTAAAACTCTTGTATCTTCGCTACTGCTGCTGCTTGGTGGAGTTTGGTATACTGTTGTGTGAGGATACACGCTGTTCGTTCTTAGAGCTCTCAAATCCGCTGGAATTTTGGCTTAAGTGGCAGCTCTAAGGGGTGCATCATCTGGTGATACAGTGATCATCTTCTCACCTTTTAACTGTCATCAAGGAGCTGCCTTTTTTTTTTTTTTTTTTTTTTTTAATTCCGGGAATGTTACTCCTGGGGCCAGCCACTGTTATTTGATGGCGAGCCAAGGCTTGGTGACGCCAGCCCAGAGCAGGTCCTGTTTATGGCTAATCAATGTTGTTTTGCGCTGTGTTTTCTGGGTTGGGTGTCTGAGTGCCATGGATACTGGTCCCAGCTATTGCTTAATGCTTCTGTGTGCCTCGGAGCCTGGCGGTTGCCCGTCCCTTGTCGTCTCTGCAGACAACTGCTTTGACCGTTGGTCCAGTACGCGGAGCGCCATTCACAAGCTTCAACTGCGCACCTTTTCAGAAGTGAACGTCTGCTGTGGTGTGAGCAGACGCAGACCTGCTTCCCTGTGTCCCTCCCACGCCTACAGAACTGCTGCAGAGTTTAATGTGACTATAAATAAAGTGGTTTTCAGAACTTTGGTTTAAAAAATGTGTTTGTCGGGGGTGTGAGAACTAGAGTGATCAGAGGAGGCACTGGGCATTGGCATTCGGCTCTGGATTCGCTTCTGTGTGGGGTTTGCCGAGCCCTTTGAGGATTTGATAACCTCAGGGCAGCCTCGGAGAAGCTGTTCCATAGGAAGGTGAGGCCGGGGTGCGCCAGGAGGCTCTGAAGTGCAGCACCAACCCGGCCTTGCCCCGGGGCCCGCCTTCGGGGCCAGAGAGGCCTCAGTCACCGTCTTCCTGAGGACGGGAAGATGCCAGGGTTTCAGGAAGTTCACGGGAAGGTGAAATGACAAGGTGCTGTGGTGTGAACAACTTCCTGAAAATCTACACGTAGCTTTTTTCATAATACACGGTTTCCACGAACTTCATGAAAAAAGCTACGTATGGATTTCACAAACATTTTCGAGCCAGAATTTTTAATTCCATCCTCTGTTTTTTGAAGTCTGGACACAGAGTGGGAGATCTCGGAGACACTTTGTCTTTTGCCTCAAGGCTACAATGGAGCAGACCACTGAAAGGAGAAGTTTAACACTTTCACTGCTGGGATCATTGTCTTCAGTGGAAAAGGTGATTAAAATGCTTGGAGGGGGCTGGCGCCACAGCTCACTAGGCTAATCCTCCGCCTAGCGGCACCAGCACACCGAGTTCTAGTCCCGGTCGGGGCGCCGGATTCTGTCCCGGTTGCCCCTCTTCCAGACCTGCTCTCTGCTGTGGCCAGGGAGTGCAGTGGAGGATGGCCCAAGTGCTTGGGCCCTGCACCCCATGGGAGACCAGGAGAAGTACCGGCTCCTGCCTTAGGATAGGCGCGGTGCACCGGCCGCAGCGCGCCAGCCGTGGCGGCCATTGGAGGGTGAACCAACGGCAAAAGGAAGACCTTTCTCTCTATCCACTCTGCCTGTCCTAAAAAAAAAAAAAAAATGCTTGGGGGGTACGTGGTATGTCAGTTGTAACCATTGAAACACTGAAGGTAGAGTGAAGACAGATTCTTTCCACACGGTCCCTGCACACTAGGGCGTGTTAACTGCATGGATCTTACAGGTGTCGGGCCCAGGAGGGGCCCAGCCCCGTGTTCAGAGTCTCAGATCCATATAGGGTGAGCTTCGTTGGTGCTGGGTCTATGCTTGACAGAACGAAACTGTGTAGTCAGTGGGGGTTCCGAGTGCTGGGACTGCGCTCAAGGAAGGAGGCACGGCTTCTGGGACTGCTCTCAAGGAAGGAGACACGCTGACGTTTTCTGTTTAGGTGGAAAGTAGGTGGCTTTGCCCGTCACATACTTGAGTATCTGTTACAGGTCTGGTAGCCCCAATCCAAAAATCTGGACTATTCCACAATCTGAAAGCTTGTAGAGCACCTGTAGGATGCCACAAGTGGAAAATTCCACATGACGAAACACTTGTTCCAGGCACAAAACTATTAAAAATAATTATATAAAATTGCCTTCAAGCTATGTAGATAATGCGTGCAAGGAAGAAAAAGTTCTGCTTGGTACAAAAAGTTTTGACATTGGAGCTGGCATTATGGCATGGGGGTTAAGCCTCCACTTGCAATGCCAGCATCCCATGTAGATGCTGGTTCGTGTCCCCGCTGCTCCACTTCCACCCAGCTCCCTGCTAACACACCTGGAAAAGTAGTGGACGATGACCCTGGTGCTTGAGCCCTGCACTCACCTGGAAGACCCAGAAGAAGCTCCGTGTTTCATAAACAAATTCTAATATACAAAAACATTTTGAAATCCTTGCAGTTTTTCATAATCTAGGTTTTCCATGAACTTTTTATTTTTAAAAGATTTTGAGAGTTAGAGTTACACTGAGTCAGGAGAGACAGAGAGAGGTCTTCCATCCACTGGTTCACTCCCCAATTGGCCACAACGGCTGGAACTAAGCTGATCCGAAGTCAGGAGCCAGGAACTTCTTCCAGGTCTCCCACGTGGGTGCAGGGGCCTAATGACTTGGACCATCTGCCACTGCTTTCCCAGGCTATAGCTGAGAGCTGGATCCGAAGAGGAGCAGCCAGGACTCGAACCGGTGCCATATGGGATGCTGGCACCGGTGCTGGCCCCCTCCATGAACTTTTTTAAGACCCCACTATGCATGGATTTCAGGATTTTCTTTTTTCCTATTTATATATTTGAAAGATTTTTTTCCATCTGCTGGTTCACTTCCCACATGGCCACAACAGCCAAGGCTGGGCCAGGCCAAAGAACTTCATCCACATCTATGTGGGTGGCAGGGGCCCAGGTAGGCTTTGGCCTGGGCCAGTGCTGGCCGTTGCAGCCATCTGGGGAGTGAACCAGCAGGTAGAGGACCTCCCTAACTCTTTCAAAATAAATATTTTTAAAAAAGTTTTGGAGGCTGGCATTGTGGCATAGTGGGTAAAGCCACCTCCTGCGATGCCAGTATCCCATATGGATGCAGGTTCCGATCCTGACTGTTCCACTTCTGATCAGCTCCCTGCTAATGGCCTGGAAAAGACACTGGAAGATGGCCCCAGTGCTTGGCCCTCTGTCACCCACATGGGTGATGTGGATGAAGCTCTTAGCTCCTGGCTTTGGCCTGGCCCAGCCTTGGCTGTTGCAGCCATGTGGCAAGTGAACCAGTAGAGGGAAGATCTCTAATTTTTTCAGATATATAATATTAAAAAAAATTTTGAAATCCATGCATAGTGAGGTCTTCAAAAAGTTCATGGAAAATCTAGATTATGAAAAACTGCATGGATTTCAAAATGTTTTCATATATCAGAATGTGTATGAAACATAGGTGGGGCTAGTACTGTGGCTCAGTGGGTTAACGCCCTGGCCTGAAGCTCTGGCATCCCATATGTGTGCCGGTTCGAGTCCCGGCTGGTCCTCTTCCGATCCAGCTCTCTGCTATGGCCTGGGAAAGCAGTAGAAGATGTCCCAAGTCCTTGGGTCCCTGCACCCCCGTGGGAGACCCAGAAGAAGCTCCTGGCTTCGGATTGCGCGGTCTGGCCATTGCAGCCAACTGGGGAGTGAACCAGTGGATGGAAGACTTCTCTCTCTCTGCCTCTCCTTTCTCTGCGTTAACTGACTTTCAAATAAATAAATAAATCTTTTTAAAAAATGTGAATTTCATGTTTAGACATGGGTCCCATTCCCAAGCTAGTTCATAATGTCTGTGCAAATGTTCCAAACTCTGATACCCTTCTGGTCTCAGGCATTTCACATGAGGGTCTGGAGAGAGCTGGGATGGAAACAGCTGGGGCAGCCGAGGGTCACCCATGGTGCAATTCCCACATGCCTCAGGCTCCTACTTCCAGGCAAGTAAGTAGAAATAAAACTTCAGCTGAGAGTAAATGCTCCTTCTCATCTGAATGTTTGAAAAACAACTTTTGTTCTTCGGAAGACTAAACATGCCATTGAACTGCTTTGTAATACAATCCAGTACAGGAGAAGTCTGGCTAATTTTTTTTTTTTAATGAGAAACATCTGATTCTTACATACCACAAATAGCTTCAAGTTTCAGCACCAACCCCTCATTGGCCAAACAGTGATACCAGACCTGAAGCATCTCTTTAAATGTGAAAAGTCTTAGAAAATTAGCTTACCAAAAACGTCCCTACCAAGGCTGTAGTTTGGCATTTACTGTACACTAGTCAAAAGCCCAAGCTAAAATCTGACTTTAAAAAAATCAAAGTTTACATTATTCATACAGATTCAGCATTGTTAAAAAATATGCACAAATAACCACATCCATGCAATATAATTTCTTTAAAAATTTAAAGCAATATAAAAGAGATCTAGGGACTGAACAGAACGTGTCGGTTTGTAACCTGTAGTTCGAAACGGATCGTCACTGGAGAACAACTGATTCTAAACGTTTGCAATAGGATTGTTTCTGATCCATCAGCCGAGGGTGCACAGGAATTCTGGACTGTTTCGAAGCTGGCTTGTTGCTAGGAGACAGACTGCATGCACGTCACTGCTGACCGACCACAGCAGCTACGACAATGCTGTTTTACAGAGAAGTCCAAGTTCTCCAAGTGCTTGGCTCCTCAGGAAACTGCATTTCCACAGTCCCTAAACCAAACGGCACTGCCTGCAGAGTGCCTGGCGCCCCTGGCTGCACAGGCGCCCCCTGGAGGAGAGGAGGAAGTCCGTCTTCGGGCTGGCCGCCCACTCTGCACAAGTCCAGAAGGAGGCTTCCATAGTGGGTCCCTGGACCTTGCCAGTGCCCACAGTCGCTCACAGACTGGTCTGGGGCCGTGAGCTGGTCCCCTGAGGTCAACAGGCTGATGTGGGGCGCTGCAGGGGCCCCAGCCTCCTAGGTAGGGGGCGGCCCGTTGGTGTACCGCAGCATTGGGTAGAAGGAGCGGGCGAAGTTGTTGGCCTGGGTGCAGCTGTAGTCCTCTTCGGAGGAGGGCAGCAGGCAGGCCAGCAGCAGCAGCAGCAGCAGCAGCAGCTGGAGGGGCAGTGCTGCCCTCAGCACGCGGGCGAGGAAGGAGCGCGGTGGCCGGGAGCTGCCGGGGCCGGGCACCCTGCAGGGAGAGAGGAGGCGCGGGCTGCTCAGGGTGGGCGGCCCCTGAGCCCTTGTGTAAGTCAAGGAAGAAACCCAGGGCCTGCGGTGGAGACGGGGCCAAGAGCTAGGGGGTTCAGTTTTGGAAGAGAAGCCCAGCCCGTTCCAAAGGAAAGAAAAAACCAGATTTCGACCCCAGGATCGTGGCACTGGCGGGACTGGTGTGTAGGGGCGGGCACAGCAGGGGGCACTCGGGCTGAGCCGTGAGGACGGTACCTGCTGTCTGCCTCCTTCCTGCCTCGTGTGGTCTTCTCCGCTCCCAGCTGTGGGATAAAAGGGGCCAATTAGTATTTGGAGATGGTTTTGTCGCATCTGCGACAAACCATCCTTCCTCGGATAGACAAAGGTGCTTCAGACAGTTCACAGGAAACAGAGTTGAAAAAATAAGTTTTGACGGGGCCGGCGCTGTGGCACAGTGGGTTAATGCCCTGGCCTGAAGCACTGGCACCCCATATAGGTGCTGGTTCGAGACCTGGCTGCTCCACTTGCCATCCAGCTCTGTGCCATGGCATGGGAAAGCAGTGGAGGATGGCCCAAGGCCTTAGGCCCCTGCACCCATGTGGGAGACCTGGAAGAAGCTCCTGGCTCCTGGCTTTGGATCGGCACAGTTCCGGCCATTGAGGCCACTTGGGGAGTGAACCATCGGCTGGAAGACCTCTCTCTCTGCCTTGCCACTCTGTGTAATTCTTTCAAATAAAAAATAAAAAGAAAAAAAGTTTTGGTCTCACAAAATGGAAGTACGCGCCTAGTATTTTTCCTACTTCTCATTTCCTATCCATTTTCTTCAAGCTCCTTAGATGTCTTCCGAGATTAAACCCGAAAAGGTAGGACATCCTCGATCTGTGTCCAAAGGAGAAATCTGGAACCTCTGTGCCAGCATTACGAGGGCTGTCCTCTTTCTTCCCGTGACCCCAAAGGAGAGTGACGGCCGAGAACGCGGCCCTCGGCTCGGCTCTAAGAACGCGGCCCTCGGCTCGGCTCTAAGGTTTTGAATCCCTGGAGTTAGCTTCTCTGTGGATCGCGTTAGAGCAGATCTCTGCCGCCGTGGGCTATCCCAGGAACTTCCACAGAGACCACTGAGGCTGTCCTGGCAGGAAGGGGCTCTTACCCTCGCCCGGGGAGCTGGCACGGACGCTGCCGGAGGCTGCTGGCCCGAGTCCACCTCGTCGACAGCAGGCAGGGCTGGGTCCTGGGTCTGAAACACACACCCGGGTGGTACAGTTCAGGGGAGCAGAACAGGATCCTTGGAAAATGCATTCAATATCACAGCCTGTCCACTGTCAGACTCCCAGAGGAGTGCGGAAATGGGCTCCCTGCAGGTTCTGCAGGAATCGGGGGTCCAGCTGCCATTTCTCTCTCTAGTTCCGCCTCCCTGCTCCTCAGAACAGAGGCTTCCCCCAGACCATAACCAAGGCAAGGCCAACCACTGGCTTCTGAAGCCCGTGGCGCCCTGGGGAGACCGCGTTTAGAAGCAGCAAGGGAGACACGGAGGCAGGTTCCCCGGGCAGCGAGTGTAGCACAGGCCACTACCCAATCATGCAGTCACCGCACAGTCTCCTCTCGGGTGGGAGGGAGGAAAGAAGTGTGGGGAAAAACGCAGTTAAAAGACAAGTTCTTGCTGGTGGAGGAACATTTTGAAACCCATGTGCATGAGGTATCTCCAGAAAGTTCATCCAAAATGTGTTGGATGAAAAATCTGTACATGATGTCAGTTTTTGCACTAACAAACTTTTTAATTAGATCGGCGCTGTGGCTAGCGGGTAAAGCCGTGGCCTGCAGGCCTGGCATCCCATATGAATGCCAGTTCAAGTTGCGGCTGCTCCACTTCCGATCCAGCTCTCTGCTGTGGCCTGGGAAAGCAGTGGAAGATGGCCCAAGTCCTTGGGCCCCTGCACCCACCCAGACTACCTCCCACCGCAAGGCCGCGGCTTCGCTGTCCTGGCTGAATCTGGGCGTGTGAGAGCCACAGTGGACTCACCTGGCTTCCCTGCAGGGACATCAGGTCTTGGGCCACCTGCTCCAGTAACTGGTGGAGCTTCTTCTCAATGACATGGACCTTCTCCGCGGCCTCGATGTAGTCTTCCCCCTGCCCCTTAACGAGGAGGCTGTTGGCAATCTCCCGTAAGGAGTTCACTTGAGGTTGATGTTCCACTAGCTCCTTCTGCAGTTGCTGAAAACATTAACAGAGTGTGTCAAACAGCTGTCCGCAGGGAAGCTGGTGCGGCCAGCGGAGGCTTTCCCGGTGCCTGCAAAGTTCTGGGATGAATGGGGTAGTGCTCCACTCCAGAACCTTCTAAGTTCCTCTCTGTGGCTTCTGGTTTAGCACTGTTTAGGTAGCCAGTAGGTTACCCCACAGCCCTGGCTCTTGTTGCCTCGCGCTGAAGATAACGTAGACACTGGGAACATTAGAGGAGAGGAGGGGCTGGTGTGGGAAGATCTGACCCTCACCTACGCAGGAAGCCAGGGAAATTTTGAAATAACTGAAAAACAACGGCTCAAGTATGTGGACACGTGGACTTTGCATGAGGCAAGTCGGCTTGAAGTGCTGAAGGTGGCTGTCTTGCTTGCTGCCCTGCCCGATGTGGCAACCACTGGACATACAAGGCTATTTAATCAAGTAAAGTGAAACGTAAGATTTCAGCCACAGTCGCCATGGGAGCTTGGTGGGTACCACATGGGACCTCTCTCTTGTTGCTGAGCTAGGATGGTTGCCACGGTTGGTGCCAACGTAGAACGTTCCCATCAGGGCAGAGAGTTCCATTGGACCCTGTGGCTCCAGGGGGTAGGGGAGGGGCTACAAAGATTCCAGCATAAGAATTTTTTTTAAAAATAAATGGCTGGGGGCTGGCACTGTGGCATAGCAAGTAAAACTGTTGCCTGCAGTACTGGCATCCCATATGGGCACCAGTTCAAGTCCCAGCTGTTCCACTTCCGATCCAGCTCTCTGCTGTGGCCTGGGAAAGCAGTAGAAGATGGCCCAAGTCCTTGGGTCCCTGCACCCATGTGGGAGACCTGGACGGATCTCCTGGCTCCTGGCTTCGGATCAGCACAGCTCCATCTGTTGCTGATATCTGGGGAGTGAACCAGCGGGTGGAAGACTTTTTCTCTCTCTCTCTGCCTCTCTGTAACTCTGCCTTTCAAATAAATAAATCTTTAAAAAAAATGCAACTTTCAGTGAGAGTGGTCGTTTTTGAAAGAATGAATGGCTAAAATAAGTAATTTTAAAATATTTGAAATTAAGCCACACACGAATTCATAGATAACAAAGCCACCTTGAGTACAGGGAGGATACTGGCGCCACCCTTATTTGCAAGTGAAATAAACACATGAAGACACACTCTCCTCCAGAAAGATGTTTCTACCATGGATGGAGAAACCCACATAAGTCCGTCCCAGCTGCAGAGTGAGCAGTATTCGCGAGGGGAAAACACCCCTCCTGTTCCATCGGCAGGTGCACGCAACCGGGTCCCAGTTCCTAAGTGTCTCAAAGATGCCTCACTCTGGACCCTGGAGCTTCAGCCCCGCGAGTCTTCTAACTGTAGTCGCCCACAGGTGTGCAGTCACAGACATCACCCATCGCCACTCCAGAAACGCTGGGCGGGGCTGGCTGATGCAGGAGCTCTGCCCCTTGCATGGAAAACAGGTTCGCTGGAAAATGCATTGACTATACCTAAGCTCCCAGCCATCACAGCTTAGCCACATGGCCCACTGGAGCACACAGGCCATTTCCCTGCCACCGCCCAGCATCACAAGAGGGGTCAGGCCCCCGAATTCCAAGTGCAGTCTGTCCTCTGAGCCATGGGGGCGGGGGACAGAGGCCGGGGGCAGTGCAGAGGCCCCCAGGGAAGCACTCACCATCAGCCTCCTCTGACACTCCAGGAGAACCTGGGGGTCGGCCTTGGGGTCAGCAACATGAGCCTCCTGCCTCCGACCCTCAGCGCTGGCCAAGTACAGCAGCAGGTTCTGACTCAGCTGGTGGAAGTCCTTCAAACACAACACACAGCAGCGTCACCTGCTTTGTAGGGACCGCGGCGGAAGCAGCCTTTTGTCCCTAGCCTGGCACAGCCATTAGCCCTTCTTGTCTCAGCTGGAGAAGGACATGGCCCTGGCACGAGGAGGGGTGTGGGGAATGCCGGGAGGTCTGGGGAGGCCTCTGTGGGATGTCAGGTGACCGCCACACATGTCGCTGTAAGACGCACTGGACTCGGGGGCTAAGGGAGAGAGCCTACCAGGACAGGTCAGGGCAGCCCACAATGGGGTCAGAGCTGACGGGCAGTGCAGAGCTCATGTGTGTCAAGCACTCACATGTTAGCACTGGGCTAAGGATACGCTCCATCTCATTTAGTCCTAAAAATCAGTCAGGTGGTGAGCACTAAAATACCCATCTTTCAGATGAGAAGACCGAGGTCTGGGAGGGTCAGTGATTTGTAGATCAGCCTGAAGTGCTGCTGTATCCCGGAGCCAGGTCTCCTTACTGGCAGGGGAGCAGAGAGCGGGCAGCGCTGAGACCCTCGCTGAAGCCAACTCCAGGAGGGGCGTGGGCGTGGGCGAGCATCGGGTCTCCGGGATGAAGGGGGGTGGGTGTGGGAGGGTCTCTCCGCAAACACACGGCAAAGCCAGCCTGCTCCTTAACACAAGTCAGCTTGGCTGCATCAAAGTTAAAAATAATTGCCTGTCCCACCTCCCTGGGCCGGCCTGGGCCTTGGGTGCAGCTCGGGGTGGGGGCTGGGGGCTGAGTCAGCGTACCTGGCACTGCATGAGCGACTGTCGCAGGCCCGCGCGCCAGCTGTCCACTGCGCCCTGGGCCGCCTCCCAGCGCACGCGCAGCTGGTGCAGCCTGCTCTGGAGCTCGGCCGCCTCGGCGCTCTCGCTGGGCAGAGACTCCTGGCTGCTCCCGTGCACAGAGTCCAGCAACGCCTTGTAGGTGTCAGAGGCCTTTACTATCTCCTACCCCAGAGGGAAAAGATCGGGTTAGGCACTCCGAAAACAGAGGGCCGCATTGTGACCCTCGGCAGGGAGTGGATCCGTGCGCTCGCTCTCTCCCAAGCTGCAGCCGCAGAGGCAAGGGCAACCTCGCCTGTGACTGGCTGGGAGGCGTCAGCTGAGGGAGCTGCCCTACAAGGCTGTGAACTTGGCCAGCAGGGCCCAAGAGCAGAGGCCTGCCTGCAGGCGGGCGACTGGACCAGAGACACACAAAGGCTCTGCTGACGTCCACGGCCCCTCTGTGTCTGGCTTAAGAATGCTTCTGGACCCCATGAAAAGCCTTCTGGATAAAGTGTACATAGTCATTCTGCATCTGTCCCTCAGTGAGCACCCTCAGAAAACTACAAGTCTAAACAGTGCCTGGATACCCCAAGGCACCTGCTCCGGGCCTCAGGAGCTCAGGCCGATGCGGTATACAGCGTTCAAACTACCCCGCCCCCACTCTCCAGGCAATTCCAGGGGGGCCCAGACTGGTGATGTATGTGGGTGTCCAGGTCAGGCCACAGCACCCAGCAGTGGGGACACTGGTTTTCCCCAACCCTGAATTTTTTTTTATTTGACAGATAAAGTTAGACAGTGAGAGAGAGAGACAGAGAGAAATGTCTTCCTTTCATTGGTTCACCCCCCAAATGGCCACCATGGCCGGCGCTGCGCCGAGCCGAAGCCAGGAGCCAGGTGCTTCCTCCTGGTCTCCCATGCGGGTGCAGGGCCCAAGCACTTGGGCCATCCTCCACTGCACTCCCGGGCCACAGCAGAGAGCTGGACTGGAAGAGGGGCAACTGGGACTAGAACCCGGTGCCCATGTGGGATGCCGGTGCCGCAGGCGGAGGATTAACCAAGTGAGCCACATACCCCCTCCCCCCCGCCCCCGATCTTTCCAAGGAAGGCTGCACCTCAAGTCTTGCCTGCACCTTTGCTCAGTGTCTGGGAGGGTGGTTTTGAACTTCCTGGTGGTGGCCGCCAACACCTCCAACCTCAGACACCAGATCAGCCCGGCAATGGGGACCGAGCCACCCTTTCCGGGGCTGCTCTGGATTTTAGGATTATTTGTACATCGGTTCCTATGAAGACAAAAACCTGCAACCGTGTGCTTGGCAGTGACAGAAGAGAAACGGGAGAGACTGACCTACCACACACCACCTGCAAGCCGCCGCCTGCACCGTGCACCTGTTTGCCTTGCTGTCCAGCGCGGTGCTACCCTAGTGTGCCCTCGCACCAGAGACGCACCTGCAGCCTCCGCACTCGGAGCCCCATTTCCTGGACATCAGAGGGCGGCTCTGCCGTCTGCAGCGTTTCCATCTCCGCTTCGGTGTTTGCCAGCCACGCGGCGATGCTGCCGATGTCAGAGTCGAGCTGCCGCCAGCTCTGTTTCATTCTGAGTTTGCCGTGAAGCTCCTGCGCTTGAATCAGCTCCCATCTGTCCAAGGTACCTGGGGAAGGGGAAACAGCTGCCAATTTAGAACGGGCCAGAATGCAAACAGATGTGCAGACTTCTAGCTAAGGAGGGGGCAGGGTGCTGAGAGGCTGGAGGGGTGCCCCTTGCAGGAGGTCTGGGTTTGGAGGTCTTTCTCCCCCCACAGCGGAGCACAGGAGGAGGGGGAGGCCCGTGAAGGCTGGCGGGCAGCCCACAGGTTGCTAGGATGTGCTCTGGTCTCCAGTCCAGCAGTTCGGTCCATGCTGGCGGTCAGCCTGTTTTCTCCTCTGGTCTTCAGTGTAGATCTGGTGGCGTGATTTCGCCCGGGGCTACTCTTTGATCCTCTCTGGTCTGATGCTGGACACTCCAATGAAGTCACTAAACACATGGCGCTTCCTGGTAGGAGGCTCAGTGTTTCAAGAATTGTTTCCAAATCGACACTGACAGCATAGGAATTTGTTCCTGGGGGCTGGTAGTTGAGTGGAGCACGACACTGCCTGTGCCTGGCTGCGTCCAGCCATCTTGAGAATTTATATAAAGTTGGTCAATTCCTAACTCATATTCTGCTGAGCAAGCACTTGTGATCAATGCCCAATTAAGCCCCAACCCCCCCACACTGCGCCTCTCCTAACGAGTGCCAGGTAGGCATACCTGGCTGCTGTCCTGTTACACCTGCGCCTCTCTCATCTTCCGGCTGTCGGCTGCCATTCAGGACTGTAGGGCCTTCTTTGCCACCGTCGGCACTTGGACGTAACAGGAGCTTCACCTAGAAGGAATCAAGTTTTAAGTTAACGATCCGTAGATCTTAAAAGTTACATGAATAACTGGGTTCACTTGAACAAGCAAGGAACAGAGATATGGGGTCCTGCTGTTGGCACGGTACCCCGCTGGTCATTACTCAGTGCCCTGGCATATACCCGGAGCCAGGCTGCTGGCAGACGGGGAGCCTCGCAGCGGCCCCAGGAGGAGCGAGCCGAGGAGACGGTCAGGACAGGAATCAAGCAGCCCGTTTCCCGTGCCTGCTTCCCAACATCGCATCAGAACCACACCAAAGCCGCTGTAGCCGCGACGGACCCTGCTGCCCGTTCATTTTCCCCGAGTCTGGAGCTGTCCTTCCCCACGGCTCTGCAGAGGTGGCTGGTGCGACCACCAGGACAAAGGCGCCTCCCAGGGTCCTTCGTTGTCAAGTGCTTTCTCTTACTGCACGCACTAACTCCTCTGTTATCACAGCGCTGACTGCACTGCTATCGCAGGTCTTTCCAAAAATATATGGCCCTCTTCTAGGGAGCCATGCTGGGGCCAGTGCTGTGACTCAGCAGGTTAAGCCCTGGCCTATAGCACCGGCATCACATATGGGCACTGGTTCCAGTCCCGGCTGCTCCACTTCAGATCCAGCTCCCTGCTGATGCGCCTGGGAAAGCAGCAAACAGATGGCCCCTGCCACCCATGTGGGAGACCTGGAAGAAGCTCCTGGCTTTGGCCCGGCCCAGCCTTGGCCATGTGAAACAGCAGATGGAAGACTGCTCACTCGCTCGCTTGCTCGCTCTCTCCTTTTCTCCCTCTCCATGTAACTCTGCCTTTCAAATAAATTTTAAAAATTAAAAAAAGAAAAGCCATGCTTTCTTCAGATTGTGTTCAGATGATTGTGTGCAATGAAGACCCAATGTTTCAGACCCAGTGAAAGGGCCGAGTCTGGAAACTGGCCAAGGGAGGGACACAGGAGTGACTTCCGAGAGAAGCCAAACCACACGGGTTGGGATGCCATCCAACAGTCAGGTCTCTTGCCCCAAACTTGCTCCATGCCATAGAGGGAGGGACAGGTTAGAGATGACAAGTGCTTGCTAACAAGCAAGAGGAAGAGTTTCCCAGTTGGGTATGGACAACCCGCTATCAAATGACTTGGATCTGACCACGTGAAGGCGGAACTTCCCCCAGCTATGCAGCAGGGAGGCTGGGTTCTCCGCAGTTGGCACTGGAAGGCAAGTAGCTTGAATTTCCACTCCCTCCTCTCCAGTTCTCTGTACTGAGAATGGTCCGTGGCCAACAATGAACCCCAGGCTGCCCCTGCAGCTGTGTTGCCAGGGCACACCAAGAACTCGTGTCACCCAAGGGAGGTGGGTGGAAGAAGGCACAGTCACTGTTGAAACAACCACAGGCCAATGCGGCAACAGGAGTAATGGTGACCACCACGGCTTCTAAGGGCCTTTTACCTAAACCCAGTGCACTTAATCCCGGAGACATTTAAATTCCTTCTGGTGCCTACTGTACCGCATGTAGGTTTTCCCATGAACTTTTTGAAGAGCTTGCCTATGCACGGAATTTTTTTTTTTTTTTTTTTTTTTTGCCTACGCATGGATTTCAAAATACTTTACACCAAAACACACTTTTGGCTTTACTTCTCACGAACTTTTGGAAGCACCCTGGTACCCACTGATTCTTTTTTTCTTTTTCTTTTTTTTTTTTACAGGCAGAGTTAGACAGTGAGAGAGAAAGGTCTTCCTCCCCCCCACACCTCCAAGTGGCCACTATGGCCAGTGTGCTGCACCGATCCGAAGCCAGGAGCCAGGAGCCAGGAGCCAGGAGACTCCTCCTGGTCTCCCATGGGGTGCAGGGCCCAAGCACTTGGGCCATCCTCCACTGTACTTCCGGGCCACAGCAGAGAGCTGGACTGGAAGAGGAGCAACCAGGACAGGACCGGCACCCCAGTCAGGACTAGAACCTGGGTGCTGGCACTGCAGGTGGAGGATTATAGCCTAGTGAGCCGTGGTGCCAGCCAGACCCACTGATGCTAACAACTACGTGAGGTCAACTAATCCTCAGGTGAGAAGCAGCCACAGAGGCAAGGAGAGGTAATTGACTGGTGTGGCCAGGAGTCCAACTCATGTCCAGCACAGCACAGCACACCATCAAGCCTGAATATGGAGCTGTCACTTCTCGAACAGGATGTGGGGTCAAGAGATGCACAGAACAAAGGTTGGGGGGTCAGGAGCAGTTCGGGAAGTTGTCACTTGGCTTCTTCCCAGCAGTAATTATTGTTTTATCAATATCAGCACATGCAAACCAGGAAGGTTATGAGTTCAGAGCCATCTCCACAGCTAATGAGGTATGGACAACTCACCAGCGGAGAACCAACACAAGACATGCCTGGGGACTGAGCCCGCACAGTTTACAGCAAACTCTCTCTTCAAAATGTTAGCTATTAACCACATGCCTGGGGTCCACACTCACATAGGCTGGTTTATAAGGCGTGCTGGAGTCTGAGGGGACGGGCGGTCCACTCCTATCACCTTCCATCTGTTTGTAACGATGCTTGGGGCAGGACGGGCTGTCTGGAACAAGCCACGAGTGGCCGTCAGAAATGGATTTACCTGAAACAAAGGGCAGCGAGTGAGGCTGCGTTCTCTCCCCCCACGGGATTCATATTTAGTGACATTAAAAAAAAAAAAAAAAACAGGTCATGAGTAACATGGCGTCAGGTTACAGAGTCAAGATGAATTCTGCAGCTTTCCTTGCAAAGCATGCGTGTTTGCAAAATGTCAGTACGTTCCAGAGGGGATGAGATGGGAGTCATGCAACCGAGCAACACTGCGTCTTCACTAGATGGGTTCGCGATGGAGCACAACAGGTGGATGATTTGCTGTGGCACGAGGTGGCATTGGGAGCTGGGGTCTTGAGAGGTCAGCGCTGCACGGCCAGGCTGGTGGCCAACAGGACAGAGGGCCTCTCAGCGGGGAAAGGGAGAGTGAATGTCAACAGGGGCTTGGGAAGCCAAGGGCCACTCGTGGCTCTCCCTACCACTGAGGTGGGGATGGGGTGGAGGAGAAAGAGCAGAGCTGTATGTCAAGGTAAGGACAATTTCTTTTTCTGTGCCAAAGGCTACGGTACCCCCACTCCTGCCCACCCACCTGCCTCCCGGGAGATCACCAGCAAGGAACCCGTTCCAAACCAAGCCACCATGAAGAAAGCTTGGCCATGCCAAAGGGCATCCATTAGATGGAGCAAAAAAATAAATAAAATAAAATAAAAATAAAAAACCAATAAGAACCAAGAAAGGCACCGTGGAAAATTCCCTCTGCACAGGCCTGAGGGCGGAGAGAGGGCCAGCGCAGGGAGCACTGTGGCTCGGGCAGGGTTGGCAGGGAACACGCGGGGGTGGTGAGTACGGCAGTGTAAATACACCATGACACGAGGACCGAGGCGCATGGTGTCCACGGAAGGCAGAGGTCAGACAGGACACGGAGCGAGGTTTAGGATGCAGTGTGCGCCACAGGATGCTGCCATGTTGAGACACATGCACGGGCAGGGGCCTACCAGAAGACGCTTGCAAAGTTTTTGTGGTCATTTTAAGATAGGCCTCAGGATTTTCGGGGATTTCTACATCTGAAAAAGAACAATGTCATTTTCCTCACTGGCGGTGCCCGTGAGATCCATGCCGAAGATCAAGTTAACACATAGTCAGCTGGAAGGAGAAAATACCCCCTCTAGATCCTTCTGATTCGAAGACCTTTAGGAGAAACAAAAGGATTTTCTCCCCCAGCCACGTCCTGGCTGTTGGCAGCGGTGGGGGGGTGGGGGTGGGGGGTGCTGTATGCAGCTCAGGCTGTTGCTACTCTGCAGGGTTCACTGAGGAGTGCCCCCAACAGCCAGGGCCATCAGTGAACACCCTTATACGTCCAGATGTGAACTCTGGTTGTTTCTCCTTTCCTTCCGCCTGCAACAGGATTGAGCCAAAAGTTAAGAGGTGGGCAGGACAAACCCGGGATGCCCCAAAGGCTGGGTCAGCTGCGGTCTGGCCTCCTCGGCATTGAGACCTGGCTGGATGGGCTGAGCGCCACAAACAGCCACACGGGTCGATCGCAGGGGCTCTGGGAACCCGGCCGTTACCTGATAGTGCACTGTAGTACGGACCTTCCTCGTCGTCTTCGTGAGAGGAGGAGCCGCCCACATCACCCGTGTGGTCCCACTCGAGGGGGATGGAGTCCACACTGACAGGGGTCTCGCAGCCGGACCGCTCGTGCCCGGGCGCCGGGGGCACCAGGTGACAGAGAGACTGGGGAGACGGGGGCTCCTCGCTCTCCCCACTTTTCCGCCAAGAGTCAGGGGGCATCTCTCTGGGGTCTTCCATGTCTGTTTCATTCTCAGAGGTCTCCTTTTCATCTTCTAAGCCCTACACAGGAGGATCCAATGATTAGAATGAGACCAAATCAAGGCTGCTGCAGACGGAAGCAGCATTATCGTCTGTCTGTCCAAAGAACCAAGTTAGGGGCAGGTGCTTAGGGCAGTGGTTAAGTCACCACTTGTGACTGCCACTTCCCTCCATAGGTCCTGGGTTCAGGTCCCGGCTCCTCTACTTCCAAACCAACTTCTACTGAGTACTTTGGAAGGCAAGAGGTGATGGCTCCAGTGCTTGGTCCCTGGTAGAACAGGCACAAATAACCCGGGCTCTTGGCTCTGGCCTGACCCAGCCCCAGCTGTTGCAAGCATTTGGGGAATGAATCAGAGGATGGAAGACCTCTGTCTGCCATTCAAAGAAAATGAAAATAACAATGGACGGTGGTATTTCTGCTTCTGGGACAAAAAGGCGACAGCCTCAATCCCACGTGAACTTTTCAGAAGGCCCTTCTGTCATGGGAAATGTCCAGGTCCCTTTTGGAAACTGGATCATGTGACACTTCAAAGGAGAGAACAAAATAACCAAAAGACACAAACATTAAGTGCTTCTAGACACTAAGATACAGGAAAATGCAAACATGAGGGCAGCTTCAACGTAGTCGTGGAAAATACAATTAAAAGATAAATTTAGTTCGGTCTGAAAGACTTTAAACCCACACATATGAGAGGTCTTCCAAAAGTTCAGAGAAAATGAATATTATGAAAAAAAAACTGGGCAGATTTCAAAAATTTTTTGTACCAAAATAATCTTTCCATTCTATTTTCCCATGGACCTTTTTTTCAAGATTTCTTTTATTTGAAAGGCAGAATTAGAGAGGCAGAGGCAGAGGCAGAGAGAGAGAGAGAGGTCTTCCATCCACTGGTTCACTCCCCAAATGGCCAAAACAGCCGGAGCTGGGACAATCCAAAGCCAGGAGCCGGGAGCTTCTTCTGGGTCCTCCCACGCGGGTGCAGGGGCCAAGGACTTGGGCCATCCTCTACTGCTTTCCCAGGCCACAGCAGAGAGCTGGATCAAAAGTAGAACAGCTGGGATTCTAACCAGCACCCGTATGGGATGCCGGCACTGCAGGCAGCAGTTTTACCTGCTACGCCACAGTGCCAGCCTCTCCCACGGACATTCTGAAGTATCTCTTCTGTTCCCAAGTTACTAATGCCATCACACCCAGAGCAGGGTCAGTAAATTCTTGGGGTACTGATACATGCCCGAAAGGCCCTGTAGTAAGGAAAACACACTGACAATAGTTAACGGGAGCAAGACCATCCTTTCTTCTGGTACTGGGAATCCGTGCGTAACTGTGGCTCTGTATTAGTAACAGTGGAGAGGAAATTCTTTGATGTAGCATTTTTTTTTTCTGAATTGAAAAATGAAACCACAGTTCACCATTAGAAGACAGGATTCCCAATTCTCTGAACACCCAGCCGGCTGTTAGACTCGGAGCCGCCGAGGAGCCGCGGGCGGGCAGCATGGCTTACTGGCGCGGGGGAGGTGAGCCGCCGGTGGAAGCGGCACACCCTGCCGAACACCTCCTGGCAGTATCGGTGGAGGTCCTCCAGCTCGTCCTCGATCAGCACGGCGTCCAGGGGCTCGCTCTTCTGAATCAGCTGCTCGCCACACACGATGAGCTGGTCGATCTTGTTGGTATTCAGCGTGATCTCCTGCTGGAAGCCCTGTTGAGAGATGAGACAGAAAGGACGTCTAGGCAAAGAACCGACGAAAGCCATTGAAAAGCGCACACACACACACACAGAAATGGAAAAACATCCCACGTGCGTGGACTGGAAACATCAGTGTTGTGGATATGTCCAGACTACCCAGAGTGCTCCACGGAGTTCACGCACTGGAGTCAAAACACCAGTGGAATTTTCCAGAGAAACAGAACAACAATCCCACAACTCATACAAAACCACCCGAGTTCCCACACAGCTGCGGCAATTCTAAGCAGAAAGAATAAAGCTAGACGCATCACAACACTTGACTTTAAAACGTCCTGTAAGGCAACTGGAAGTAAAGCTCACAGGGGAACAGGATAGAGAACCCAGAAATAAACCCACATGTCTGCCAGCCAGCTGATTTTTGGCAAAGGCAGCAAGAAGATGCATTGGAGAAAGGAAAGTCTCTAAGAAATGTTGCTGGGAAAATTAGACATGGACATACAAGAGAAAGAAACTAGACCCCCCTCACCACATCCAAAAAGCAACTCAAAATGGATCAACGACTTACACGTAAGACCTGAAACTTTAGAATCACTGCAAGCAGACATTTGGCAATGCTTCAGGAAGCTGATCTGCACAGGAGTGTTTTGGACAGGCCCCCCAAAGCATGAGAATCAAAAGCAAAAACTGGAAAAGGGGGTGACATTAAACTAAAAATAATTGAGGTGACTTACAAAATGAGAGGAAATATTTGAGAACTATTCATCCAACAAGGGACTGATTTCTAGAAGATGAGTATAAGGAACTCAACTCATTGTTGTTTTTTTTTTTTTTTTTTTTTTTTTTTGGATAGGCAGAGTGGACAGTAAGAGAGACAGAGAGAAGGGTCTTCCTTTGCCGTTGGTCCACCCCCCAATGGCCACTGCGGCCAGCGCGCTGCAGCCAGCGCACCACACTGATCTGAAGCCAGGAGTCAGGTGCTTCTCCTGGTCTCCCATGCGGGTGCAGGGCCCAAGCACTTGGGCCATCCTCCACTGCACTCCCGGGCCTCAGCAGAGAGCTGGCCTGGAAGAGGGGCAACCGGGACAGAATCCCATGCCCCGACCGGGACTAGAACCCGGGGTGCCGGCGCCGCAGGCAGAGGATTAGCCTATTGAGCCGTGGTGCCGGCCAACTCATTGGTTTTTTAAAACCAATCTGACTTTGAAATGAGTAAATGACCTGAATAACCATTTTTCAAAAGAAGATACACAAGGGGTCAAGAAGTACATGAGCAAAATGGTCTACATCTGTAATTATCAGGGAAAATGGAAATCAAAACCACAATGAGATGCCATCTTATCAAACTAAGAACGGCAATGACCAAAATGACAAGAAATAACAAGTGCTGGCGGGGGTGCAGAGAACGGGACTCTCCTACTGCTGCGGGAATGTCAATTAGGAGGCCACTATGCAAGACAACATGGAGGATCTTCAAAATCTAGAAACAGAACTATTGTAGGATCCAGCTATCCCCTCTGGGTTTATATCCAAAGACAATAAGTACGTTGAAGAAACATCTGCACTTGGATTTGGAACAGCGCTGTTCCATTAAGCAGCCGAGTGCCCGCTGATGGATGGATAGAGAAAATATGGGGCATAGACCCAATCAATTCTATTCATTCTGCAAAAAGTATGAAGTCTTATCATTTGCAGCCGCATGAATGGAGCTACTGGAACGACGTTTTGTTAAATAAACCAAGCACAGGAAGATAAATGCTGCAATGTTCTCACTTGCACTGGGAGGACGAATAACGGAAACAGGATGGTTACTGAGCACGGGGATGCAGCTAAGTAGGAGAGGAGTAATTCCTAGTGTTCTACAGTAGGTAACTAGGGTGGACAACAGTTAACTCAACATTTGAAAGCAGCTAACAGAAAGGATTTTCAGTGTTTCCAATACAGAGGAATGATGTATGCCTGAGGGTCTACATACGCCAATTAGCTGACCATTACACATTGGATATATGGATTGAAAAGTCGTACTTCGGCCGGCGCCCCGGCTCACTAGGCTAATCCTCCGCCTAGCGGCGCCGGCACACCGGGTTCTAGTCCCGGTTGGGGTGCTGGATTCTGTCCCGGTTGCCCCTCTTCCAGGCCAGCGCTCTGCTGTGGCCAGGGAGTGCAGTGGAGGATGGCCCAGGTGCTTGGGCCCTGCACCCCATGGGAGACCAGGAAAAGCACCTGGCTCCTGGCTCCTGCCATCGGATCAGCGTGGTGCGCCGGCTGCAGCGCGCCGGCCGCGGCGGCCATTGGAGGGTGAACCAACGGCAAAGGAAGACCTTTCTCTCTGTCTCTCTCTCTCACTGTCCACTCTGCCTGTCCAAAAAAAAAAAAAAAAAAAAAAAAAAAAAAAAAAAAAAAAAAAAAGTCGTACTTCACCTAAAATGTACGATTATGGTGTATTAACTAAAAATAAGTATTTTTTTAAAAAGAGAAAGGATCTGAAACAACATGTCCCTGAGCAGCCACTGGGTCTGTTTCTTAGAACAGGACCATGAAAAACAAAAGCACCCAGATGCCACATCATCATTTTGTCTCTTCACCTAGCACTTAGCTTCATCGGCTTCTAAGGAGGTGAAAAACTGCAACGATTGTACACGCTTTTCCCTCCCTCCTTCCCGGAGAGTAACTAAAAGTTTGACCTGGAAGAACGTTTACTGGTACTGGGCGTGAGGGTGAGAACCTGTCCTACCGACACTTAGAACCAAAGCTTGCACCGTGAGCCACCGATGGGCACGTGTGTCTGCTGGCACAGCACGGGCGGCAGCGGCCACTGATGTCATTGTTAGGGATGGTAACTCCGTTTCTCAGCCTTTCCCAAAGATCTAGCCACGCGGCGAGGTCTAGAGAGAGCGAACCCTCACACAGGTATCTGTCATGGGGAGAGGGTTCGGGGTTAGCGTCTTAACCGAGTGCTGCTGGGAACCAAAAGTCCTTGGATGACAATGAATGACACTCATAAAAAGGGACTTGACCCAGTGACTCCAGAGCAGTGTCCGTGCTCGTGCTAACAGGGTAGTGCGAGGCTGGGGCACCGCCTGGTGCTGTGAGAATTCTGGAGTTTGTTCTGAGTTTTGACTTGGCAGCTCTTCTCTGCTAAAGGGCATTCTCTTTTATTTTATATATTGAGCTCCTTCATTGCCTTTCTTTTTAAACAAAAAGATTTATTTATTTATTTGAAAGAGTTACAGAGAGAGAGAGAGAGAGAGAGAGGTCTTCCATCCACTGGTTCACTCCCAATTGACTGCACAAGGCCAGGAGCCAGGAGCTTCTTCCAGGTCTCCCACGCAGGTGCAGGGACCAAGGACTTGGGCCATCTTCTACTGCTATCCAAGGCCATAGCAGAGAGCTGGCTTGGAAGAGGAGCAGCTGGGACTAGAACAGCATCCATTTGGGATGCTGGTGCTTCAGGCCAGGGCGTTAACCCACTGTGCCACAGCGCCGGCCCCTCCTTCATTGCTTTTAAAGGCATGTGTGAGAATGCTTCCATTCGTTGGTTCCCTCCTTGGGGCTGCGCCAGGCTAAGGCTGGAAGCTAGGAACTCAATCCTGGGTCTCCTACATGGATGCCTTGAGCCCATGGCCTGCTGTCTCCCAGAGTGCACACTAGCTGGAAGCTAGAATCAAGAGGGCAGCTGGGATTCTGATATGGGATATGGGTACTCCAAGCAGTGTCTTTCCCATTGCATGAAACACCCACCTCTCTTGGCGTACTCTTTTAAGAGAAGCTAAAAGGAGCTGGTGCTGTGGCATAGCAGGCAAAGCCACCACCTGCAGTGCTGGCATCCCATATGGGCACCGGTTCAAGTCCCGGCTGCTCCACTTCCCATGCAGCTCTCTGCTGTGGCCTGGGAAAGCAGTAGAAGGTGGCCCAAGTCCTTGGGCCCCTGCACCCATGTGGGAGACCTGGAAGAAGCTCCTGGCTCCTGGCTTCGGATTGGCGAAACCCCCTCCGTTGTGGCCAATGGAGGAGTGAACCAGCAGATGGAAGACCTCTGTGTGTGTGTGTGTGTGTGTGTGTGTAACTCTGCCTTTCAAATAAAATAATCTTTAAAAATAATATTAAAAAAAAGCAGCTAAGGATGCGGCCTTACGTTCAGCTGGCGCATCTTGTCGTCCGCATCGCTCTCGGAGAAGTGCTCCACGTTGGTCAGCTGCAGGTCCATCTCCGTCAGCCACACCAGAATGCTCTCCCTGGTCCCCTCGAACTCGTCCCTCTGGTTCGTGAAATGCTGCCAAAGGGGAAGAGGAGCACACGGTGCTGTGAGTGTAGAACAAGAGCTCGGCAGACAGCAGCGTCCCCTCTGTGGGGAGCTAGGGCCGGTGTCTCAGAGAGGAACCTGCCTCCGGGGTCCCAGGAAGGCCCAGGCGTGCTGCATCCAGGAGCCCGGTCCTTGCTGTGCGACAGACAGGGCCCCCGCCTCCCTGAGCCTCGGCTTCTGCACCAGCAAATGGAGCAGAGTTGGACTTGGACCTCTGTGATCTTTCAAAGCGCTGGGAATTCTGGAATTCATTATCTAGGTCAGAGCTTTTTCCATCCTTTGAGGAACCAGGCCAGACCCTCTGCCCAGCTCTACCCGTGCGCCCCCCGCAGAAGGACTGACAGTAGCTTCCGGCTGGAAAGCGCTCATCTCGGGGGGGTTGAGTGGCCCGGGGCTCCCCTGGCCTTCACAGATGCGACTGTGTTGCTCCAGGGAGGGGATCTGCGGCCTTTGAGGAGGACTCTCCGGTTCCACTGGGAGGGCAGCTGACTCTGAGAAATGCGGCACGCAGGGCCAAGGCAGTGTTAGCTCAGGATCTTGCAAATCGGCAGGAGATAACAGGAATACAAGGCGACAGCCTGGGCGGCTAGACAAGCCAGCCAACGTCTTCCCTCAGTGTTACGAGGTGAAAGGCCCAGGTTCTCCCACCTAGAACGGCTTCAAGAACATTCTGCCCCAAGAGCAGGAGCAGGGCTCTAAATCACATCTTGTGGTTCCTGCCTACTTCTGGTATCTGGACTCACAAAGCCAACACAGCCCGTCTCCTGCATTAAAGGGAACAGAGAGGTGAAGATGTACATTCTGAGTCCAACCCCTCACTCGGGGTCTTGTTGGTGGGCTCTGAAGCCCAGGAGAGCCACCCAGCAGGGGCTCAGGTGTCCCGTCCTCTGCCCACGGAGCTCAAAGCAGGAACCAGCAGGGCGCGCCAAAGCAGGTGGCCAGGCAAAGCGAGGCTTTTGCTGGGGGCCCCTGTGTCACCTCCCCTAGTGCCCAGGCTGTGGCTGGTCCCCACGCCATCAGGGCTGACAGCCGCGTAAAGACAGGTGCGGTTTTTCAGTAGCATAAGTCACACCAGCCGGCCCTGCCCACGAAGCCTCGCACTCCGATCCCTGTCTGGAGGATGGAATGCTGGCAGCTCGGGCTGCCCTGTGTTGTCGCCATGTCCAGGGAGCTCAGGCCTGCAGTGCAGCCTGCCACTTGCACATCACGTATCTCTCCCCCCACCCCAGTGCGGGGCAGCGGGTTACCCGGAGGCGCCGCAGGATGGCCGTGACCCGCCGCTGGAGGCTGTCCCAGCGCTGGTTGCCCTCGTGCACCATCTGCTTCAGTTTGCTGGCCGCGTCCGTGCGGTTCTCACGCGCCAGGCGCCGGTACTGCTTGTTGATGAGTTCCAGCTGCGTGAGCCTCTCGTGGATCTGCCGCTGAAAAGCCTGTGCCGCACAGAGCAAGGGGGTCACTGCCACGGCCCCCGCCGCCTGCTGCACCAGCAACAGAGAGGGCCGGCTTCCCTGCCCGCGCCCCCATCAGAGAACCCGACTCCGCTTCCAGTTCCAGCTTCCTGCTAAAGCGCACCCTGGCGGGCAGCAGGTGATGGCTCGAGTGCTTGGGTCCCTGCCACCCCCACAGGAGACCCGGAAGGAGTTCCTGGCTCCTGGTTTTGACCTGGCCCCATCCTGGCTATTGGAGGCATTCGGAAAGTGAACCTGCAGATGGAAGATCGGCCCCTGTCTCTTCCTCTCTGCCTTGCAAATGCAGTGAAAAGAAATCAGTAAAATAATGCACAGGCTATTACGTTCACTCAAGCTGCCTTAGCAGCAGGTGGCTGGCTGTGGACTGTGGCCCCCACCGAGGGTGGGGAAGCTGGGCCCCCACCAGGAAGTCGTCACAGCCGCTCGCGAGCCACTGTGGGCCCGGTTACTAGCAAGCGGGCTGGGCGGGCCAGGTACTTACCTCGAACCTCTTCAGCTCTTCTTTGGCGCTTGTGTACAACACCTCGGAGGAGTTGGGGCAGGCCGCCGTCCTCTCGGCCGACTGCAGCCAGTCCTCGAAGCGGGAATAGTCGTCTAAGAACTTCTGCCACAGGCGCCACGTCTCCTCGATTCTGGCAGAAGGAGAGCAGCAGCCTAACTCCTGGCTCTTGTGGCTTCCCTGTTATCCCCGACCGGTCCGATCCCCTCGCTCCCCCTCTTACTGGTGTTCACTGCTTAGACATCCTTTTATTCCTCGTGGAACACAACACGGCCAGGGACGTTCCTTCCCGGTGTACCTAGCTTCCCTCCTCTGGGAGCACCCGCCCCGCAGTTACAAAACCGCACACACCGGAGTTCCTGAGCGCTCCGTCTCTGACTTCCTCCTGCCCCACCACCTTACAGATCCTAAACAGCAGTGCAGCCGCCAGCCCACGTGCCAGCCTGAGGCACCGCCGAGAAGCACTGCTCATACCTACTGGGCTTTCTCGGCCAGTACCTGGAGAACCCAGGTACCGTCACTGAGGCCAGAGGGTGCACCAGGTTTGGCAGATCATAATTAAACCATTGAGGGGCAGGCAGTGAGGGTGCCAGTTACTATGCCCGTATCCACACTGCAGCACCTGGGTTTGATTCCCGGCTCCGACTCCTAACTTCAGCTTACTGCTAATACACACCCTGGCAGGCCCAGGTGACTGGGTTCCTGCTACCCACGCAGGACACCTGGATTGAGTTTCCAGCTCCTGGCTTTGGTCCAGCCCTGCCCTGGCCCTTGTAGGCACGTAGGGAGTGAACCAGCAGATAGAACTACCCGTGTCTCTCTCTTGGCTTTCAAATAAAACCGAAGCTTTGCAAGAGCTCCCCGGGGGCTGCGGAGTTCTTACTTCATGCGCCGCTCCATGGACATGGCACAGATGTTCCTCCAGCGCCTGTCCAGGCTCCTGGTGGTCTGCTGAATGGAGTCACACTCGGTCTCGTTTGCGCATGCGTCCGAGTCGTGCAGGAGGACATCGCAGATGTTAAACACGGACTCCACCCCCGCGCTGTGCTGCTCAATATCTCGCTGCAGATCCTACGGTGCCAACAGAGCCCTTGAGGTGGCGGGCGGTGCAGGCAGGGGCGGCATCCAAGGCTCCGGGCCTGCCCCCTCCCCCCACCCCTGCCCTGAGCGCGTCTCTACCTGGGCTACAACAGCACAGACTGAGTCCGTGCGGCCACCCGACACAAAGCTGCAACTCTATCAACACTTGGGACCCAACTCTGGAGGACAGGTGCTGCCCACAGGGTATGCGTGGGAACTATTCCACCCCACCCACCCCAAGGCCACCACTTGTGACCTCAGGTCTTCCTACAAACGGATTGGGTCTTTCCAGCAGGAACAAAGCAGATGCCATGGGGGCTTTTAACCTCACACAGGCCACAGCGCTTCTTGTTTCTACTAAGACCTTAGCATGTGCAGTGTGCAAGTGTCCACAGCCTCATCACACAAGGTCCCGGGTAGAAGGGAGGAAACCTAGGGTGGGGCGCCCGCCTCCCCGGGGAGGGGCTTCAGCAGAGGCTGTGGCTGGGGGAGAGGTAGGCTTTCTGGAACCCTGTCCTATGACGGTAATCAATCCCCCAATCTGGGAACAAGATCATTTATGAAGAGAAAATACGGGGTTGTAGGGGGAAAAAAAAGGAAAGCCTCTTTCAGTAATTCACATGGCTTCTTCAGGTATTATAAGAAAGTATTTCTTCCACAGTAGGGGAGAGAGATGAGAGTGGGGTTTGCAGTTCCGGTCAGCTCAGCTTCCGCTAATATCCAAACTCTGTGCTAAGTGACACGCGGTCACATCGTCACCTTATGTCCAGAGTACTTTGTGGAACAGCAAAGACAGAGTCAAATCCTATAGTAATTGAGAGCAGACTGACTTGTAAAACTCGTGCTGCTTTAAATAAGCCACGAAGTCCCCGAGATCCAACTAAGCTCAGCTGACAATGGTTATTTCAGGGGACAGTGGTTGCCGGTGGCGCATAGCGCACCTGGGGACCTGTTTTCTGCCAAGGGCCATTTGGATGTTTAGGACATCACCTGCGGGCCAGAGTGATCACCTTAAAAATGAGCCTGCCATAGATGTACTGGATTTTGAGTCTCGCCTGTGGTTGCCTTGGCAGGGCCAAGACCCAGTAATGTCTCGGGCAGATGGTCCCTGCCCCGATCCACGGAAAGACAGCCAAGCGTCACTCCAGGTCCCTGGGCATTTGCAGTTTTGCAGGCCACTGTTCTAGTCCTCAAGAGAGGACTGTCACTCCCTTCCTTCTGATAAATGCACAGTTTGGATCCGTGCATGCTCGAGTGGATATGAGGGAATGGAATGCTCACGCTCCAACCGGATTTTAAGTCTGGCAGCGAGTAACACAGATCGGAGCGGAAACAAGCTCCAGACGTTACGCTCAGAAAAGTGTTTTCCGCTCAGTCCCTTGCATCCCGCGAGAAGAGACAGTCTCAGACAAGAAGCCTGAAATGCCACAAGGGCGGGGGTCACCCCACAGCCACTACGCGGAGCAGCCTTTAACACTTTTATGTTTAATAGAATTTCTGTTTTAAGACTTTAAGAACTGGGGCTGACGCTGTGGCATAGCCGATAAAGCCACCACCTGCAATGCAGGCATCCCATATGGGCACCAGTTCGAGTCCCAGCTACTCCTCTTCTGATCCCACTCCCTGCTAGTGCGCCTGGGAGGGCAGCACAGGATGGCCCATGAGGGAGATCCAGGGAAGGCTCCTGGCTTCAGATCAGCCCAGCTCTGCACGCTGTGGCCATTTGGGGAGTGGGCCAGTGGCTTGAGGATCTCTCTCTCTTCCTCCCTCTGTATCCTTGCCTTTCAAATAGATAAATATTTTTTATATTAAATATTTATCTATTTGAAAGTCAGAGTTACTCAGAGAGAGAAGGAGAGGTAGAGGTAGAGGTAGAGGTAGAGAGAGAGGTAGAGAGAGGTCTTCCGTCTGCTGGTTCACTCCACAATTGGCCCAACAGCTGGAGCTGCGCCGATCCGCAGCCAGGAGCTTCTTCCAGGTCTCCCACGTGAGTGCAGGGACCCAAGGACTTGGGCCATCTTCCACTGCTTTCCCAGGCCATAGCAGAGCGCTGGATCGGAAGTGAGGCAGCCGGGACTAGAATCAGTGCCCATATGGGACTGCAGGCACTGCAGACAGAGGCTTTAACCCACTACGCCACAGCACCGGCCCCTAGATAAACCTTTAAATCAAATGAACAAACAAAAAAAGTGGAGCAGCCAGGACACAAACCAGCACCCATATGGGATGCTGGCGTTGCAGGCGGAGGCTTTACCCACTATGCTACAGTACTGGCCCCCAATAAATAAATCTTAAAAAATTAAGCACACCCTACAGTAATTCATAAAGGACCAATAATATGTTGGTTAAACAAAAAAGTCCAAACATTTTCAAAATTTCCAAAAGAACCTTCTAACACATCACGAGCGGTCTACTGATATTGCAGTATGAAGTAGTTACTTTGCATAATACAAAGTAGACAGCAGACTGGATTTTAAAATGCAAACTACTGGGGTGGGCGTTGTGGTGCCGTGCATCAAGCCACCCGTTAGGCACCTGTGACTCAAATGGGCATCCTGGATGCTCCTCCAATCCAGCTCCCTGCTTATGCACCTGGGAAGGCAGGGTAGGATGGCCTAAGTGCTTAGTCCTTGCCACCAACATGGGGGACCTGGATAAAGTTCCTGGCTGGCTTGGGCCTGGCCTAGCCCTGGCCATTGTGGGAATTTAAGAGTGAACCAGTAGATGGAAGCTCTCTCTCCCTCTCTCCCTTTTTTTTGACAGGCAGAGTGGACAGTGAGAGAGAGAGACAGAGAGAAAGGTCTTCCTTTGCCGTTGGTTCACCCTCCAATGGCCGCCGCGGCCGGCGCGCTGCGGCCGGCGCACCGCGCTGATCCAATGGCAGGAGCCAGGAGCCAGGTGCTTTTCCTGGTCTATGCAAACTGCTTATTTAAATACTAGACAACTAATATTTTCCGAACTAAAATAATCCTACCACTAGTACCAAGTGTGGCATGAATTTGTACAGTTAGACTTTAGGAACTGTCCAAACCCAGAAAAACAGATTTCAGAAACAGCTTCGAACAGTGTAAAAGACTTTTGCCAAGGCTTCTGGGAAGAGTTTCTCTTATTTTTCTGCCCCTGAACAGGTGAGGAGGCAGAACTGGAGATGAGATCGCAGCCAGGGAGCGTGAGAACAGAGAAGCACCAGAAAAACAAGATAAAGAGGGGAACCAGGCAGGCTGGACCCCTGGGGGTAGCTCCAGAATGTCTCCGTGGGCGGGGCCTGGGTGCTGAGCAAGCCGTGCAGGGTGCTGGTGGGGGTGGCTTAGGGGACTTGGGGTGAGGCTGAATGGAGGAGCAGGGTAGGGGGAACGGGAACGAACAGAATTGGAGAGTAATTGGTACCCATCAGGGAATCAAGAAACAAACAAAGCAGCAGCCTTGCTCAATCCTGCTGGCTTGCAAGCAGCACATGGGCCTCATTTAAACAGTATAATTGAGATAGCACTTACAGTCAAGAGTACTACAAAATACTTAGATGTACTTAATATTAGACTCTGGGCATGAGAGTCTCTTAATACCATTCAGAGACTGGACTTGAACTCAAGGCACTTTATCATCAACAGGTCACCTTCTGCCCTTGAATCCAGTTAAAAAAAAAAAAAAAAAGGTTCATCCAAATTTCGACTCTAAGCACCTCTGACTTTAGGATAAAGATGGAGGCTTAAGGGGAAGAAAAGCACATGAGTCTCGGAATCACTCGGCTTAGGTGGCTGAAACAGAGCCATGGGTTTAGGACATCAGAGGTGAACGGAAGCAATGCGAAGAATAAAGCCAAATGCATCTGTCATAAAATAAAGACAAAACTGGGCATGGCATACGAGCGCGAGCCTGTGACTGTGCACCTGAGAAGGCAGGGAAGTGGATTCAAGAGATCAGGGACATCCAAGGGCACCCGTGAGGTCAGCACAGTGACAAACGCGGGTTGAACTCGGTGGCTGTTGAAATGCAGCATTGCCTTGGCTGGCCCAGAGCATGGCTAACCCATGACTAACAGGCACCAGCCTCGTAGCCTAGCTTCCTAAGTGACTGGCCCATGCATGTTCCTCTGTATACCTTTTGTTTTAATTCTTTATTTTTGAAATTCTATCAGATCTACGGAATAAGATCGCACGAAAACCTCCTTCGGTTAGGAAAGTTATTTTCCTTTTGATTCATTGCCTCCCCCAAAAGATATTAATGAAACATGATGAAGATCAAAGCAGGGGGGGGGGGGAGGATTAACAAACCTGTTGAACATCAAGGTTAAGTTCTGCCTCATCAACATTATTCAAGGTATTTCCCAAAGAGCTACATGACTGCAAGGTGATTTCCAAAAGTTTGTGGAATTTGGAACTGAAAGATAAGTGTATCTCAATGCAAAAAGCTTTTGCAACCCAGGAGAAGTCTGCGTTTTTCATGAACTTTGGGAAGACCTGGCATCCTGAGAAGTGGGCACAGAGATGGATGAGACCCACCTAGAAAAACACGCAGGGCAGTTGGTTTTCCAGGAAAAAGCAAGCATGGAATACAAACAGGCAGGAGGCCGGGGCAGACGGGGAAGGTGGGGCGGGCAGCCGTCACCGATGCCTAGACGCTCTCGAGCGCGCGCCGCCCCGGCCTCACCTGCTGCTCCGCCAGCCGCTTCTGGATCTCTTGATCATCGCACACGTCATACACGACGGGCTTGGAGAGCTCGGACTCGATTCGAGCCAGCCAGGTGCGAAGGTTGCTCATGTTTCTGTCCAGCTGCTGAATGAAGGCAAAGGTCTCCTTCAGCTTCTTCACCCTAAACGCATTTGCAGGGAGAGAGAGAAAAAAAAGTAAGAAGAATGGGCCAGCAGGGCACTGGAGGCTAAAAGGGCCCCACGTTGTGCCAATTTCATAGCAGAACAACGTTCATGTGACCAGGCACAAGTCTTCATAGAACGCGAGGACACTTGAGAAAGTTTCCGGGAAAATGACACGACCAGGTGAGTTCAGGGCCGTGGCCGCTTTAGCATTTCAGATGCCCGCGTCCCACCCTACAGTATCTGGGCTCGGTTCCCAACCTGAGCTTCTGCCTCCAGACCCTAGGGCCCTGGGAAGCAGCAGCGATGAATGTCCAAGTGGCTGGGTTCTCGCCACCCACGTGGGGGACCTGGATTGAGTTCCTGGCTCCTGGCTTCCGCCGTGGCCCAGCCCTGGCCACTGAGAACATCTGGGGAATGAACAGTGAAACCCTCCTCTGTTTCTCTCTTTCAGGTAAATCAATAAAAGGTAAGGTCATTTTGGTGTGGGAAAATTTAGAGATCCATGTGTATGTATGTATACATGTATTTGTATGTGTTAGTTTTTTGTCATAATACCCATTTTCTACACTGTCTGAAGACCCTGTGTATGCGTGGATCTCACAGCCGTCCAGGCGCCAGTAAAGAGGTCCACATCCCATCTTGGAGTGCTTAGGTTTGCACTCAGCACTGCTCCTGACGCCAGCTTCCTGCTGGGGTGCACCCAGGAAGTGCCGGGGATCGCTCACGTAGCTGGGTGCCTGCCACTCCCATGGGAGAGACCTGGACTGAATTCCTGTTCCCAGGCATTTGGGGAGTGAACCAGTGAATGGGAAATGAATCTTTCTGCCTCTCAAATGAATTTTTTTAAACACAATTATACCAAAATAAGTACCTTTAAATTCCATTTTCCAGAAACTTAAAAATATTTATTTATTGGAGAGGTAGAGACAAAGAGAGAGACACAGTGTGTGCGTGTGTGTTGGGGGGTGGGGTGCATGTTCCTATCTGCTGGTTCATTCCCCAAACGCCTGCAATGGCCAGGGTGAGGCCAGGGCGGAAGCCGGAGCCAGGAACTCAATCCAGGTCTCCCCCGTATTTAGGAGGAACCCACTTACTCAAGCCATCACTGCTGCCTCCCGGAGCCTGTATTCACAGCAGGCTGGAGCCGGGAGCTGGAGCTGGCTACCAAACCCAGGCACTCTGCTATGGAGCACGGGCATCCTAACCTGCATTTATCCACCAGCCCAAACGCCTGCCCCTGCCCCAGAAGGCACTGGCAGGAAACGCTTTGCTAAACCACTTTCACGAGAGTCCCAGGCAGAGCGAGGAGGGTTTATCCTGGTGATCTGGGGTGCTTTTGTTTAATCCCGAGACTGAAAGTGAGGACGACAGAGGCAGGTTCTCACTGAGCAATGCTCGTGTTGAAAGACGCTGCCAGAATTGCATCCCAGGACAAGCTGGGGCAATGAACTCCTCCCCACCTTCGGCTCTGCAGCCCCAGCATACATTCCGGAAGGCGTGAGCCATGCACCTAACCTCTGCACAGTCCTCCCCCGCCCTGACACTCAGTGTCACCTCTGACCTGTGCAGCGCCTCCAGTGTACAGTGGCTCCTCTCGCCTGTGGAGCCTCTGCCCACAGCCCCTTCCCAACGTTCTCCCGCAAGCCCTGGGGCCCTGCTGCCTGGCACCCTTGGGGCTGCAAATGCGCCACCAGGACTTGGGCTCATTTGCTCCCTCTGCATGCGCCACGCCTCCCACGCTGCCTGGTGGGCAGGAGGTGTTGACGAATGTTTGTTGAATGACTGAATGCGGATAAGCACATCCCCTCTGGGCTGTGATTTAGGCACAGCTGTGTTCAGATCTTGCAATCCCAGGGACTGACTTCCAGTTCCAAGCTCTACTACCAGGAAAACCTTTTTACACTAGCACTGTTATCTCTGGTAGGTCCTTGAGGTCTTCAAGCTTCAGGGAGGTGGCAGCGTGGAGCCCTGGGAGGGAACAGGCCTGGGTCCAAGTCCCATTCCCCCGAGCGTGAGCTGTGCACCCCTGCACGGCGTGTCCTCCACCTCCCTGCTCGCTCATTAGCTACACAGTTACGCAGCCTGCTCTGGTTTGTGAGAGTGCTTGTGATGCCACCGGCACACGGCACACACTCAGTGACTCGAGCTCGCCTTGTGCCAACCGGGGTTCCACCATGTGGCCATGAGGCCCTGTTTCCATGGCACTGGATCTCACCGTTAATGTGTTCTTCCAACGAGGCAGCAGCCTTGGAACTACTGCCGCCTGCTGGGCACGGACCCTGTTGTCAGGCTTGGCTTTGAGTCCTGCCTGGGCTCCGTCTCCCTGTGGGGGGCGTGTTAGCAGGGCAGGACCCACCTTTCCTGGGGAGGTGAGAAGACTACGGGAGATGCCAGCCATGACAGGGACTCGGCACAAGGTCTCATGGAGGCAGATGCTGGTTACCATGGTTACGATGGACTTCCAGGAGGTATGTTTTCCAAATCACATTCCCGCTAGATGCTCTGAGGCGAAGATGATTTATTTAAGAGGAAGTAACAGAATCCAGGGCTAGGCCCGGAGACAGCTGTAACCTAGATCTCTCCTTCATCCCCAAGGCTCCAGAGGCACACCCTCCTCACCCCCATTATCTTGCTACGCAGACTGTCCAGGGACCAGAAAGAACATTCCAGAAAACTGCCAGGGCAGCCGGGATCCCAGGAACCATGGGACAAGGAGTGTCGCGTGCAGTGGGTGACACGCTGGTCAAGGAGGGCTCCGGTGACCTCCTCCCAGCTCTGCTGCGCACCCCCACCCCCACCATCCAGCACCTGGCCACATGTGCTGGGCTTCCCCAGGGCTGTGGCATCCAGCAAGGACAACACGCCAAACCAGTGGGGGGTGTGAAGAAACTCCGGGCGGCTGTCCCTGTCCTGAAACTCAAACCCTAAACGCTCTGGAATCGCAGGCGACACCACGAGTGGAAAATTCTATGCCCCAGCCTCTCCCGTGATGGGTTGGAAGATGTGGGTGCTCTAACGCACAATTACCTGCAGGCCGTGTGGCCAAAGCGTGCATGAAACATAAATGAATGTCGTGTTTAGACCTGGTTCCCAGGATCTTATTACATATATGCAAACAAACCAGAACCTGGAGGAAAAAAAAAAAAAAAAAAGCAAACCGAAACTCCCAAATCTGAAACATTTGGCTCTCAAGCATTTTGGAGAAGGGACACTGAGCCCGAAATAGATTTTACACTGTTAACGCATTCTTTGTGAGTGTCTACGTGGGCACGCTTTATAACTCATAAATGTTATCACGAAAATAGAACAGCTACACGGCACACGGACATCCACGCTGCCAGGCCTGCTGGGCTTCCCATGTGAGCAACTCATTTAAGCCCGCAATAACGCGATGGGGTGGGTACTGTTATTATTCTCAATTGACAGATACGGAAATCAAGTCATGATCGCCCCCAACCCAATCCAAACGGCCATGAAGTAGCTGAGGCGGGATTTCACCCCGGGCAGCCTGGTCCAGAGCTTGTGGTCCAGACTCGGGGAGGCAGCAGGTGGTGGCCCAAGTACTGGGGTCCCTGCCACCATAGGAGAGACACAGACTGACTCCTGGCTTTGGCCCGGTCCAGCCTCGGCTGTTGCAGGCATTTGGGGGATGAACTTGTAGTGGATGGAAGCTACTCTCTCTCTCTATTCTTTCTCTCTCTCTCTGCCTTTCAAAGAATAAAATAATAAAAGACTGTTTAACTCTTTGCTCTGTCTTGGGTCCTGTGCACACAGACACTGAGGATTCACAGATAACTGGCAGGCAGCTCTTACCCTCCAAGAACTCCCGTGACCTAATTAAAAGCATCCTGTCCCCTGATTTACATGAAATAATTATACATTTAATGGAGTACACTGCAACACTGCTACACGTACACACAGCACACTTAGCACTGGCACTTGCTCAGTGTTTGGAGCCTGCCAGCTCCTCTCCTGCAGGTCTTCCCCAGATGGGAGACATCTGCATGAATCAGTGCCTCACTAGACCTTGTTACGTCCACCTGCTGCCTCCTGGGACCCAGCATCCAACCTCCTTCTCTCCCCCTTTCTCAGTCTTGAGTAGTCAGCATTCTAAATTCTCACCAACTTTTTTTTTAAACTTGCGTGTATGAGAGAGAGCATGCAGTATTTATCACGACCTAATTCAGATACAATGAAATTTCTCCAGGAACATCTACTGGGTGTACACATGACGCTCACTCAAATCTTTTCAGTTGTCTTTAAGATTTATTTATTTGGAAGGCAGAGGGGCAGAGAGGCAGGAGAGAGAGAGAGAGAGAGAGAGAGAGAGAGAGAGGAGAGAGAGAGAGAGAGAGAGATGTCCATCTGCTGGTTCACTCCCCAAATGGCTGCAACTGCCAGGGCTATGCATTAGCAGGGAGCTGGAAGGGAAGTGGAGCAGCCGGGACTCGAACCAGCACCCACATGGGATGCTGGCGCTGCAGGCAGTGGCTTTACCCGCTAGGCCACAGTGCCGGCCCCTCAGCTGTCTTCTTCAAAACAGAGATGGCCATGGCATATTTTGGAAATTAGAGGTAAAGACCAGGCGCACTGCAGTCTTTTTGCTACAAAACAATGTGCTGTCCGTACTCCTACGTCCTGGATCCCAAGGGCAAGACGGACAAGCAAACGGGCACACACGTCAGATGCAAACTAAAGGGGGAGGGTGGGACTGGCACCGTGCAAGGAGAGCGCTGGCTCGGGTCCCGGCTGCTCCACTTCCCACCTGGCTCCCTGCTAATGCTCCTGAGAAGCCAGCGGAAGATGGCTCTCAAGTCCTTGTGGCCCTGTGACCCACGTGGGAGATCCGGAGGGAGTTCCTGGCTCCTGACTTTGACCTGGCCTAGACCTGGCTGTTGTGGCCATTCAGGGAGCGAACCAGAGATGGAAGATTTCTCTTTCTCTTCCAAGAGGAAGGGAAGGGAGGAGAGAAAGAAAGATGGTCACCACGAAGCTA